AGCGGCCCGGGCTCCTGCCGGCGCAGTTGCCATAACGACTCCAGGCAGGGCTCCCGCAGAAACAGACGCTGCGATTTCCCCCTGCTCTCCTCCCTGCTGCCGGTTTGCGGGGCCGGCACCCCCGTTGGTACGGCACTCCGGCTGACGCACACCACACCTCAGAGCTGGCCCTGGGCGGGTGACCCCCTCCCTGCCTCGGATCTGAGCCCTGCCACCTTGTGCAGCATCAAGCTGCTGATCACTGCGGGCAACAGGCACTATAAAAAGATCCACCTGGCAAAAGAGCAGGGCCCACATACAGCGAACGAGTCCCATATCCCTGGTCCCGTGTTCCCTGGAACAAGTCCCAAGTTCCTTGGAAAGCAGTGACCTGTCTATGCACCCTGGTTTGCTCCTTCCCTCCCAGTGTGGAGGCTGGTTTGGGGAAAGGTCTTCTTACCCCAGTGCCTGTCCTCTGGGGGTAGCTATGCACGCTACCTGTCTGCCCCTGAACAGCACCTGCCCCTTGAGGGTCCCAGTGGCTCCCTGAGCTAGCACAGTGCTTTCCTCATTTACAGAAGGACAAGTGAGGCAGGGATTTTCAATTTTCTAAAGGAGCTGAGAATGCCCCTGGCCACGGCCTGGGACAGCCCTTCCTTCCCCTGCGGTGGGGGCACAGAAAGCTCTGGGAGTGCTGATCCTGCTTCTGGACCAGGAGGGTTCATTTTGCCTTCAGGAGCTTTTAGCCCTGTGCTCACTCCGTTCTTGAGTTCCTGCTGTGTAGAAGTGTGGCATCTGGCAGGGAGTCCCTTAATATTGTCCCTGTAAGTGAACAACTCTGAAGTGGGCTACGAAGTCCCTTAATATTGTCCCTGTAAGTGAACGACTCTGACTGAAGTGGGCTACGAGGAGGCTTTTTGAAATAGTGGTCTTGGTCTGGATAGAAGGTGAAGGAGCACCAGCGAGCAAGGGAGTGCAACGCTCAATTACACCTGGGCTTTGCTGAAGGCTTTCTGTGCCAAAACAGACCTGGCGGGGAGCCCCCAGCTTGTGTTGAGTCCTTGCTCGGAGGAGCTGTGTTGTGGATTGCTTGTTATCCTTCCTGAGCAACACGTGTGCTGGGCTGGCAAGTGGGACCTGCTCTGCTCCCACACCAACCTCTGTTTATCTTTCTCATTTCATCTGATCCAGCTGGGCTGGCTGAGTCACTTCCCCGGGAGCCTGCTGGTAGTGGGGCTCAGAGGAGGGCTGAGAGTCAGCCCAGACAGATTCTGGGTACCACAAGGAAGTTGGGAGGCACTGTTACAATAGAGGCAGAAGTGAGACACAGTTGTGTTTATTTGGCCTCTGTTGCATCCCAACCTTTTCCTGGCTTGTGCTGCACATGGAGAAGGTGAAGACTCTCCTACTTTTAAGACCTGGTGCCAAGGCAGAGCCTCAAGAGTTGGTTAGTGCAGGGCCATCTCTGCTGAGCCACTCAGGGCACCATTCAGGAATCACGCCTAATTCAGCTCACCTCAGCCTGCTTGTGGGACAGCAGTCACTGTGCCAGGGCTGAGGCACTGCAGCCTCTCAGGCGGTGCTGGCTGTTTTCCAGATGCAGCTCTCAGGGTCAACATTGCCCTGGGAAACAACGAACAGCTTTTGGATTCTGCAGCCTGAAAATGGGTTCCCTAACACAACACCACAGCAAGTGCGGTGGGGCACTTGCTCTGACAAACCTCTTTAACCCCTGAGCCCAGCGCAGCCCTGAGTTTGCTGCCTTAGCATTTATGGGAGTGCGAGCAAGATGGGGAAGAGAAGGGTGAACATGCCAGCTGTGTCAGGGCATGAAGGGCAGGGGCCTCCCCAGCCAGCGACCAGCCACTCAATACCGGGCCAGTGCCCAGTGGGGGCAACCAGGCTCAGGCATAGCCCTATGATCAACAGGCAGGGCCATGGTGATGGGGCAGGGCTGAGGTCCACCTGGGACATCAACCTGTAGGGGAGGGTCCAGAGTAACAATGCCCATAGCCCAGCATGAGAATAGCTTAACTTAGCTTAGCTAAGCTAAGCTGGAGACCAGCACTCCTACAACATCGCATAACGGGAACTAAGATCCCCAGGCTGAACTTAAATAGTGTCCCTGGGCCTATATGCAGGAGCAGTGGAGGCTCCAGGTGATGCTAGTTAGGGCCACTAAGGTTTATTAGTGCCCCCAGTGTCCTGACAACTGTTGGTCTGTGGTGGAGTTGGTAGGTTGGTTTGAGGCTACAGCTACTGAGATGTACGTGCCATGTACTAGGAGTCATGGACAGTTTCCAGCTGCAAAATGCTCAGACTGTTCTCTTCCTTCTCCACAGGTTGACTGCGGATGCAGAAAGAGTATCAGAGCCTGTTACTGCATTGTAGGGGTGTATGCTGAGACACAGCTTTACACCATCAGGATGTCCAGTGGAGCTAGCAGCCTAGAACTACACCAATGGTAAGGATCCCAAACCAGTACTATTTTTGTGCTCGTGTCTGTAAAGTTTTCCTATATGCAGACTGGCTGTGGTATGGCTGTACAGCACTGCAGTACAGGCCTTGGGTGGTGTTACCCACTGTAGCTTAGCAGTGAAGGGACAACTCAAAGCAGGCAAACTTGAAGGACCAGAGCTTTGTTCTGCTCTGCTCAGTCAAGAGTTGCAGTAAGCTTCTGCCTTTCCGGTGGCATATGCTTTGCCTAAGGTGGGTCTGCATTTTTCTTGAGAGGTGTCTGTAAGTCTCCTTTTTAAGCTTTAGCTAGATGCAAATTTCTAGTTGAGCCCTAATACTGCAAACTGGTCTGCCAAAACAGCTTCCTGAGTTGGCTCTGATGACAGGGAGATCCCTTAAGACCAGGGGAATTCACCTTGCTAGTCAAGCAGTAGATGAGGGCAGAGCTTGGGCTAAAAACTTCCTGCTATAAGCTTGGGTAACTGCCAGCTTCTAGGTTTTAAAGAGGATGTGGGAACGATTATCACAACTGCTCCTTTAAGACCAACCAGTTCTCTTAATTTATCTTCTAAAAGGAAATTAAAAGGGCTGTGGTCCTGTTCATTTGCAAGTCTACTGGTGTCTGTAAGTGAGTTCAATATGAGTTCAGTGGTAAGCCTGATGGAGACAG